AATAAACTAACTTCACACCTTATGGCTCAAGAAAAAGAACGGACTGAACTAAAAACCTAACACAAAGAGGGAAATAAAGATTAGAGTCGAAATAAATAAAAATAGATCATGGAAAAACAGTTCTGAGATCAATGGAACCAAAAGTTAGTTTTTGGAAAAAAATCCATTATGACAAACCTTTAGCTCAACTCACACACACACACACACACACACACACACACACACACACACACACACGAGAAGATGCAAATAATCAAAATTAGAAATGCAAGCAGAAATATTACTTCTGAACAAACAGAAATAAGAAGCAATATATGAGAATATTATTAACAATGGTACACCAAAAATTGGATAACCTAGATGAAATGGACAAATACATAGAAACACACAAATTACATCAATTGACTCAAAAAGAAATTGAAAGTCTTACCACATATATAACAAGTAAAAACATTTAATCAAAACTGCTCCGCAAAGAAAAGTCTAGAAGCAGGTAGATTCACTGGTGAAGGCTTCTAAAGATTTAAAGAAAAATTAATATCAATCCTTCTCAAACACTTCCAAAAAAATCAAAGAGGAGGGAATACTTCCTAACTTATTCAGATGCCAGCACTACCCTAATGACAAAGCCGTATTACGACATGAAAAAAAAAAAACAATATCCCTCACGAGTATCAATGCAAAAATCTTCAACAAAACACTAGCAAACCAAATACAGCACATTATATATCATGACCAAGTACAATTTGTAACAGGAAGGCAAAGATTGTTCAACACAAGCAAAGCAAATCAATCTAACACCTTACATCAGTGGAATCATTATCTTAACTGGTACAGAAAAGGCATTCACAAAAGCCAATACACTGTCATGATAAAAACTCTCAGAACTAAAAACAGAACCACAGTTTTATTTTAAAAAATAACTCCCAGAAAACAAGGAACAGAGGGAAGATTCTTCAACATAATAAACGCACTTATGAAAAACCACAGCTACCATCATACTGAATGGTGAAAGACTGAAAAGTTTTCCCACAACTTCACAAACAAGTCAAAAATGCCTGC